TTCAATTCATTTTTTTTTTTCTATTTTCGTCAACAGCGCGCCACAGGTGTCGGGAGCATGCGGGACGTGGTGATAGGGAAGGAGTGATTGGAAGTGAGGTACGGCTGTCATGTCCACACCGAGCGACGGCCGATCTGCCGAGGCCATGTCGGCTGGCGAGGCTAGCCACTTGGCCCGCTTCAAGGCCCGCAGCCGCGGCGTGATGGATCAAGAAGCTCGGCGTCGCATCGCTCTTGAGCGACAGAAAAAGTATGCACGCACTCTCGCCTTGCTTGGGGGTGTGATGCTGGCCAGGGCTGGGCCATTTGAAAGACAAGAATTCCTGACCTGTATGAATGGGCTTGTAGAGATCGCACCTCGCGAATGAACGTCCGACGGCTTTTGACCGAAGAGGCAAATGCCGAGCCGCTGGATGAAGCCGCTGGCGCTGGCAAGGGTCAGTCCTCGTCCATGCCAGAGCGCGTGGCTGGCCTTCGAGTGCTGACATGCTCCATGACGCCAGAGCCTTCCGAAGCTGCCTTGAGTGAGTGGCAACTACCCCTGTTCGTGCTCTTCTCGTCCAGGCATGTTGCTGCGAGCGGAACTCACGTTCTCTCGCTCCCTCTCTCTCCTCACTGTCCCGCCTCCCTCATGTGGCTGACAAAATGCCCTGTCCATCTTGTTCCACCTTTTGATGGCAGGCATCTTCACGGAGCATGTGTGTATCGGCACCAAGCGTTGCTCGCTACCATGCATGTGGACCCGATGACTCATTCTAAGCAACTCCTTTGCAATTGGTTTGAATGAACTCTTCTTTAGATGATGCAACCCGAACCGCTACAGTCACCGCCTGAGGATCTGCTTGAGGCTTGGACCGCCGTGCCGGTGCCTCCGGGCCCACGAGCCCTCCTTATGAGCTTCAACGTCAGCTTCACCTGCTTGTTCAACAGAATAGAAGGAGCCGGTAGCGAGCTAGGGGCTACCGAGCGTTGATGAATGGCTGCGTGGCTTTGTTTGATGGGGTTTGGTAACAACGGTGCGTCTAGGGTCAAACCAAGGCCTTCTCCGAATCCGGCATGACTATGCGTTTTCCCAGCGCCTTGCCTTCGGGAAATCCAGGAAATCGGCGCCGTGGCGGTGGGTGATGCAGCTCATGGCCAACAGCGTCGTTCAGTTATGCTGCTCATTTTGCTGGTCCGTCCAGAGTTTACGCTCCTCGATGCCGTTTATGTCGAATCCCAACATGCATACTACATTCTGGACGCCTTGCAATGGAAAGGTGTGTTGGCCTCTTTGCGCGCCCGTGACGCCCTCTCCGCTTTGCGTTGAGCTTGTCTTGTAGTCGGCCTTGCGTGTATCTCACTCTACGCTCGAGTCGACCTTTTACAGAGATGCCGCTGATCGAGACTGATTTTGCGTGTCGGACCTTCTGGCTTCAAAGCCGTTTCCTGGAGCTGCAGGTTCGTCCAACTGTTGGAAAGTTCATTCTAATTACCGCGATTTCCCAGCTGATGACCATCGCGTTCGTTGCACTTGGTCACAGGCGCTCCCGCCAGACTATGTTCAAGCCACACGAGCGCCGGCACTGCACTTACTGCCGCGTCTTGAGGCGAGTGAAGCAACCTTGGCCGCTGAGCGGCAAAATTCCACACGAACCTGGCCAGTTGCAGCTTTCTTACTCTTTCACAACGAGGTATGCATTGAGTGAAATATTTGTCGTTTCGATCCGCCATGTCAGGGTGTTGTTGTCACCTGCACTCAAGTATTCTTCTCGCTCTTTCTCTCCCCCCGCCCCTCGCGCCCCCGCCCCCTGGCTTGTTGCGATGAGTTGCAGGGCTACTACGAGGCTGGCGAGCAGACCCCGCTGGTGCTTGTAGCTCAATGACCATGGGCGTTGAGTCTAGCACAGTCATGTCAATTTAGAGCGATGCTATCACACGTGGAGTGGACATGAAAACTGATAAGAAATCGAGGTATTCACCAAAAGTGGGCATCCTCGATTGGGTCACGGCGACGACCACGGCAAAACAGATGACTGAATTTGTCAACCACGCATGACTGGCCAGCAAACACCAGCGAAAAGAAACAGACATAAAGCACGCACGTCTGGGACAACAGGCACCGACAGGATCATCGGGCGGGCTCGACCCGCAATGCATCCCCCCAAGTCGAGAGCAAACAGCCACTTGCTTCTCAACACAATGCGCGCCCTCTGAAAAAAAGAAAGACCATCAAGAAGGAGAAGGGAGAAAAGCAAACCACCAAAGCGAATCAAAACCACTTAGTAGAGACGCTTCTCGTACGAGTGGAGACCGTGCACGCCACCCTCCATCTGCGCCGAGACGGTACGGGTCTCGAAACGGATCTCGCCAGCATACATGGCCGCGCTAAATTAGGGAGGGTACGAATGAACCACACGGTTGGGCGCATGAGCATTATTGAGGCACCGCGAATAGAAGAAAAAAAAAAGTGAGAACGAGGTCGGGCGAGGTGCATACCGAAGGCTGACAGTGGAACGGCA